GAAGCATAAAAAGATATTTTGTCGGTCAAAATCATTTTAATCCATTCAACGGGTCGGCAGTTTTCATTGTGTGCTGCGGCAAGTGTATTGTGGGTACAAAGTTCCAACCACACTTCCGTTTAAAGTTGATGGTATGGACAGGTTGTTGGAGTTGAATTATCACACAATACCATAAAGCGCTCGCTATCAGTGTGTAGATGTGTATTCTATACATTAAACTATCAGTGTGTAGATGTGTATTCTATACATTAAACTATCAGTGTGTAGATGTGTATTCTATACAGTAAACTATCAGTGTGTGTAGATGTGTATTCTATACATTAAACTATCAGTGTGTGTAGATGTGTATTCTATACATTAAACTATCAGTGTGTGTAGATGTGTATTCTATACATTAAACTATCAGTGTGTGTAGATGTGTATTCTATACATTAAACTATCAGTGTGTAGATGTGTATTCTATACATTAAACTATCAGTGTGTGTAGCTGTGTAGATGTGTATTCTATACATTAAACTATCAGTGTGTGTAGATGTGTATTCTATACATTTAACTATCAGTGTGTGTAGAAGTGTATTCTATACATTAAACTATCACAGTAAACTGTGTGTGTAGATGTGTATTCTATACATTAAACTATCAGTGTGTGTAGATGTGTATTCTATACATTAAACTATCAGTGTGTGTAGATGTGTATTCTATACATTAAACTATCAGTGTGTGATGTGTATTCTAGTGTGTATGTGTATTCTATACATTAAACTATCAGTGTGTGTAGATGTGTATTCTATACATTAAACTATCAGTGTGTGTAGATGTGTATGTGTGTGTATTCTATACATTAAACTATCAGTGTGTGTAGATGTGTATTCTATACATTAAACTATCAGTGTGTGTAGATGTGTATCCTATACATTAAACTATCAATGTGTGTAGGTGTGTATTCTATACATTAAACTATCAGTGTGACGATGTGTATTCTATACATTAAACTATCAGTGTGTAGATGTGTATTCTATACATTAAACTATCAGTGTGTAGATGTGTATTCTATACATTAAACTATCAGTGTGTGTAGATGTGTATTCTATACATTATTCTATACATTAAACTATCAGTGTGTGTAGATGTGTATTCTATACATTAAACTATCAGTGTGTGTAGATGTGTATTCTATACATTAATAAACTATCAGTGTGACGATGTGTATTCTATACATTAAACTATCAGTGTGTAGATGTGTATTCTATACATTAAACTATCAGTGTGTGTAGATGTGTATTCTATACATTAAACTATCAGTGTGTGTAGATGTGTATTCTATACATTAAACTATCAGTGTGTAGATGTGTATTCTATACATTAAACTATCAGTGTGTGTAGAAGTGTATTCTATACATTAAACTATCAGTGTGTGTAGATGTGTATTCTATACATTAAACTATCAGTGTGTGTAGATGTGTATTCTATACATTAAACTATCAGTGTGTGTAGATGTGTATTCTATACATTAAACTATCAGTGTGTAGATGTGTATTCTATACATTAAACTATCAGTGTGTGTAGATGTGTATTCTATACATTAAACTATCAGTGTGTGTAGATGTGTATTCTATACATTAAACTATCAGTGTGTGTAGATGTGTATTCTATACATTAAACGATCAGTGTGTGTAGATGTGTATTCTATACATTAAACTATCAGTGTGTAGATGTGTATTCTATACATTAAACTATCAATGTGTAGATGTGTATTCTATACATTAAACTATCAGTGTGACGATGTGTATTCTATACATTAAACTATCAATGTGTAGATGTGTATTCTATACATTAAACTATCAGTGTGTAGATGTGTTTTATATACATTAAACTATCAATATGTAGATGTGTATTCTATTCAACAATGATATATATAATCCGATTTGTCTGTTAATATGATAATTTTGTTCCCGCGCGGGATCTCTTTTAATTTGTTTACTGGTGAAATTATTTGTAAAAGATCTGAACGATGTTGTTGATATTTTTTGTAGGGTTATCAATTGAAGACGAGGCACATGGCTCAAGCTTCATTAAATATATCAATTTAAATCCGCAAATGACATCCTCCTGGGAGGACTAACAATTCAATTTCCCCTGTAGGGCCCTCCACGGACAGATAATTACCAAGTATGGTCAGAAGGGCTGGAGGATGCACATCAATCCCGGCGTGATTATACCCTCCCTATGATGAATATATTAAAACCATCACAATGATTTCGGTCATAAAGATGTGCGGTCGTCTTCGTTTGAATTTCTTCGCTTTTCACGGTCGCATAATTCAGATTCTCACTGTGCACGTGCAGTGTCCGATCCAATTAATTGATTTGTCATCGAGTATTTTGAAGTCAGCATTGTCAAACGGGAATCGTCATGGATACCAAGTGTTTTATAAAAAGATATCTTCCATACAGAAAATAAAACAGTAATGAAAATACAAGTTAAGAATGTAACGTGCATTTCTACACTAATTGAACCTCACTATGGTGACAGTCGATGGCTACCACTTGTAAACTAGTCTCCCTATCTCACAATCTCGACCAACTGTCTCATCCGGATATCATTGACCGGCGCTGGTTTGTGATTTAGTCTGCGTCATGGCTGTTCGATAGAACTGCATGATAATGTCAATATCCTGATTCTAGTTATGACTGATCGTTATTCGCATTCGAGTTAGAAAAAAATGATGCATTATTTAACTAGCCACGTTTTCCATCTGTGATCGCATGAGCCGTGTTTATTGTAACCGTGCCATTCACTGGAAAGGTCAGGAACTCGAACAACACTTAAATGTTCTTGAGTGCCTACTTGGACAAAGATTGATATCTTAATATCTGATTTTCTTTCTATCCCTTTCACACTTTTAGAACTCAGGATAAAACATACAAAATTATACCTATGAATTGTATGCACAGCATGTTATATATGTCACAAGTTTTAGAGAGTATTCTATTACTAATAGTGAAACTCTCAACACTCCGTCATATTTGCACAAGACACAGTGTGTAATACTACACAAATATACAAACGACCTCAGAAAAATGTAACCTCGTTATCCCGAGAAATCTATTTAGACTAAAACACTGAAAACACATATATAGTACATAGATGGCAGACGTTTTTGTGTTGCAAATCTGCCTTGATCTTGTGCGTTTTGTTTTACACGTGCTACATCTAGTCCGGGAGATTACGTAACATTGTAAAAATACCATTGTTATATATATTGTTTTACTATAAGATACTTTTTAAATGTTAATTTTAAATATTTTGTTTTTTTTTATGCCATAGATGAAGTAGAAAGATGAAATGATTTTTACTATACACGTCTTCAGTATCAACATCTCAACAGGTGCCGATATATATCTTTCATCATCTACCCGACTTTCGTGCATGTTTTGGCGGGCTCGGGGCGCGTGCATTACCGGTATTAAGATTGTATCAAAATAAGATAAACACAAAGGAACGAACAACGGAGTTTAAGTTATACATAAGCTTATATATCCTAAGCACATACAAACCTGATTTTTATCAGGAAGTCTGGGATTTATGACTTGACAAAATGTATGCAGTATATAACAAACGAAAAAAACTGGAATTATAAATATACCCTTTGAAAGTAAAACAAAGAGTATTGTCACGACAGGCGAAGAAGAGTCATGTTTGAAATAAAAAGAAAAAAAAATCATGATAAATTTGAAAATAAATTTTGACAGATACTCTGAAACTATCTGAGTTATTAACAGTAGCCAGTATTAAATACATTTCCTTTGTTTCACTCAACATGAAAAATGTTTAAGCTGATGGTTTACATTTTAAAATGTCGGTATTATCAATATTGCCAATATTGTCATTTGTAAACTTGTATATGGTGAAATCGAGACACTCTACGCACCTACCATAGTAAAGCTCGATATATCAAATTATAACTACTCCATTGTCACTGTGAAACAGGTATTTGTTTCGGTTACTTACAGTTAAACAAAATCAATCACTCTACTGAATCATAATCCAACTTACACGCGGTCACTCTTCTCTTATTTACGATCAATAAAAATAAACAATGAAAGTTTCAACAGCTGGTTATGGTGGTTGACGGTGACGTCATCGCCGTTTCAATTTTCACAAAGGATAGCATCGAGCTGAGCCAGAGGAAGACCAGTCATGTTCATCCGAAGGTTTCACGGTGAAATCATCAAAGATTTGAAAGAAAAGAAAGCAAAATGACAAAAATCTTTAAAATGTCTTTAATTATTTAGTAGATACGGTGGGTCAGTACAGAACATATGTAAAACATACATAGAAATGATGAAACTGGACAGTGCTGGTGTTGTTGTTACTATATACAACATTATTGTAGAAATTCGGATTTGCTTGAATATTTTGTGAAAAAAAAATCCACGTCTTCAAGATAGACAGACGGTGGAAGCTATGATGAATAGGGGTCAACGAGTTATTGACAGGACTCGAAACAAGACTACCCGAACTTATACAGAAAAATTAATAGGATTTCATTTATGTTTTCGTGATATTAATTCATAAAGTGATTTGATGAGTTTGGTATCGTGTACTTTTTCCTATGTACCGTTAGGAGACCCTATCAGGGGTACAATTCAACCTCTACCCTATTGTCCGTTGGTGACAGATGATTTATAAACAGGAGGCATCACAGTGGCTGCCCATTATTATCAATTACACAAGCACGTGCATGCGTGACGGATGATTAAATTCCCATGCACTTTTACCCGTACAGTGTACCTTGCAGTAGCGTGATCTCGACTCTCTCGGGAACGCGAACTGGCGGTTGGTGACATCACAGATCTGACGATGTCGTCGCTCGCGCATTCGAGGACAGCTAGGCCTGCACGAGTGATTCACGGCGACAGAGCGAGATGTGTCACGTGACCCGTGTATTTTGGTATCAGCAGCAGCAGTAGTCAGCAGCAACACAGTAATCGTTGTGAGTCGCTCGTGCATGACTGACTGACTGTTAGTGGGAATATACAAATCATTACACGTCAAAATCATTAAGGTAAGTATGCACCTGAACATGTACTTCTTAAAAACTGACTAAAATATTTGTTTCCATTTGATTGAAGAAACAACTAGCTATTTAAAAGCAAATGTTACGTTTTAAAGTGACGATGCATTGCGACTATCGTGAACAGAATATGATGATAGAAATTATATATATTTATACATAAATACAGGGGGGATATTACTTAATGGTTATATTCATCACGATTTCTTTTGTGTCCTTCTTGTTTTGTATCTGTTTCCCTATTTAATTACAATACAATTGTACTTTAATGTCACGTAGACGCGTGTGAACACAAAAATAACAAACAGTTTCCATGTCTTGTCTAATTTGCCGTCCAGGTTAAAAAAATACGTCCTTGTCTACTTAAGCCTTCCTTTCATGAATGAATTAAAATTTTGATTAAAATCGCAGTGCTTTAATCTCTGGTATGCGTAACACATCTTCAACACGCTAACACGATAGGAGCCAGCGGGGAATTTTCACCTATTTGTCTTGTTAAGAAAATAACTTTCTACAAAACCTGAAACACAATGAATTAAACTACAGTTTTATATAAGTGTTCCGTCAATACATTTCGACACCTTCTGTTGACTTTCCATTACGCGTCAAGACTACAGATAAATTGATATGGGTTTAACATAGTCTACACACCTTTCCCATATGTAATTAGGCCAGCCATGTATGACGTATCAAGCTCTGATAGTATATATCTGTCGAAGTATTTAAATGTTATAAACATTTGATTTCAAAGAGTCATTTATAATCGACATGATACCAAGGTCAACATTGGCTATATGGAGTTCTGTTTCACACCCCGAGGATATTTTTTTTTAAATTCAAAGGCATGCAGATATATATGTTTTTGGGAATTTCGAAACTACTAAAGGGCGGTGGCCACTGACTGTCAGGAACCGTGACTGGTTTGGTAAGGTGAGTTACCGCATGGTTTATCAGTAAACCTGATAACAAACTACGTCTTCTTTAACTTTGTAAATTATACTCCAAACGTTTGAGAATGTTTTGAATCGCCGATACATTTTGGTGATAAAATCTCAGAACCAGGCATGGACGTGTGGTACTAGTGCTAATGACTCGGATAACGGTAGCTTTATCTGAGGGTGAAGAACGGGCGAATGTGTCAAAATGTTAACCAAATGACTCAGATAGGATATTGTATTGTCAGTGTTTTATGATGTATAGGAAAGTAACGTCATATGATAGGGTGCAAATTCTGGCTTCTCACAAATAGGGCTTTAGTTCGGGAGTTAGGTGGTATATCACAGTTCGTATAAAATGTTTTAAATTTTATTCACGAAATATTCGGTTATTATCTTTTAAATATCAATCGTGTGGAGTTTCAATAGCTGTATTTAGTTCCTTAATATCCCGGAGCATACATATTGGTTCAACCTTAACAACTAACCTGAATTTGTAATAGTGATCTATTATGTTGTAAGGTTATGGGGGTTAAACATTAAACTGGCGCCAACTTAAATGTGTCTCCCATGTACATTTTCTTTCGTATGTCGGACGCGTGAACCTGTAGGAACGTGTAATTCTGTCGTTCGTATAGTTTAGACTAAAGATCGGCCACGCATAAAAGTGGTCTTGATGTGATGATGCATTATTGGAACCGATCTGATTGCTAATATCGAATTATTGAATTGAAATCATATAATTCAGTTGGCTATTTCATTATTTGGTCAATTTAGGTTTTTCTCGGTCACCTATTAACATTTTTTGCCAATATCATCACTGACGAGTTCAGGAATGATGAGGCAATCGTTTTATATAGTCAAATAAATGGTTTTACAATCCTATATCATGTTCTAAATTCCACTGTAATTTACTTTGAAAAGAGTACGACTTTACTGTTTACCCGAGTCTGTACACATACTCGTCCCCTGTATCGGGTATAGACTCATGTTAATAGTTACATGCTCGTCCCCTGTATCGGGTACAGTTTCTGGTAAACAGTTACATACTCGTCCCCTGTATCGGGTACAGACTCTGGTAAACAGTTACGTACTCGTCCCCTGTATCGGGTATAGACTCAAGTTAACAGTTACATACTCGTCCCCTGTATCGGGTACAGCTTCAAGTTAACAGTTACATACTCGTCCCCTGTATCGGGTACAGACTCTGGTAAACTGCTACATACTCGTCCCCTTTGTCGGGAATAGAATCGGTAAATAGCTACATATTCTTCCCCAGTTTTGGGTAAAGCTACATATTTGTCCACCGTTTTGGGTGTAGACTAGGGGTAAACAGCTAGCTTTACAGTCGTCCCATTTATTAGTATTGACTCGAGTAAGCAGCTACAGACTCTTCCTGTTAGCGATACAGGAAAGGATTATAGCAGTATACCCATAAAGGGGAATGTAGGTAGTTTTTTTTTACTCTCCTCCATCGCTGTTTTATCTCTATTCACTTCCCTGTCTTTTCACGTCCGTTGAATGGACGAAAGGACGTACTAATTGACTAGAAACTCGTTTAATAAAATAAATAAATAACCGTTTTCGCTATTGTATTCCTGGTACATGATGTTGTTTTTGCTATGCGTCATGCCACGCTAACTCTGTGTTAAAGCCACGGACAGACGTCGAGTATGCTACGGTTGCGGTCACCGATCCATGAACAGTATGAATCATACAGATACACGCTAGCAAAAATAAATCGTTACGCATGAGTGATTTTCATATGCTTCTTCAGTACAGATTTTCGTTAGGTAGCAGGACTTTAAACTTAAAGGCCCGCTTCTCTAATATTGTATGTAATTTGTTTATTTGACGTGAAAACGAGTCGGCCTATTCTCCGTAGATCGATCGTAATCTCCGTGTACACAAGAATTGATGTGTTTGTAGTTGGTATATAAACATAGGTCAGAACGGCAGCTGGTCCTTAGGCGTTTAGTAATTTACACCGGATTTGGTGCGCGCTCACTTTCACACTTTATCACCTACCTGCGGGTCTAGTGCTTATTTCGTACAGGTATGGTACAGGTGGGAATTAGTTATATCTTACGGTAAACACGTAATTCTTGTAGCATCAGGAAGCATATCAAACGAGTCCGGACAACTGTGATAGTGCATGTTTTAGTTTGCAATTGACATTGCAGTACCTGTGATTGCAGCTTACTACCTGTATGGACCCATAACAGTATAGCCGAGGATGTTACATCAAAAATGTTTGCACCAGAGATATGTCACAGAGTCAAATTAGTCTTTTTTTGACATCTAAAGCCTGGAGTCTCTAAATGTGAAAGTGTTGATACTTGTACGAGGATGTTGACGGAATAGGGAGTGAAACATCAGTTTACCATGAACTAACACTGGATGTTGTCGAAAGCAATATGAGAATTTTCACATCAGTAACAGATTGTAGGTGAGTAATTAAGTCCCAGACTTCATTAGTAAGTCAATCTTAACTTGAAAAGTAAAAATTAAGGAGCTTGATAAAAACAAACAATTTTTGTTCGATAATGAAACTTCATCCATGATTCATTATAATTGGCGGTTTCACGGCGATTTTATTCAGAAGTTTAAAGATAAGAGATGTGAAGATGATAGGCCTAACACAACGCGAGCAGGTTCTCGCGACATCTGTTCTCATAAAAGATTCATATCTCTCTGCAATCAGGGCTTCCAATAACAAAGGTGTTTTAATGGGATCGTGACCCCTATGCTGGGAACTATTGCCGCTGCGATGGCTCAGTGTTCGAAGGGCTGGTTAACCTCTAAGTTGACCTCAAGCCGGAAGTTTGCAAAGAACCGAAGATGGCACCAATAGCCTTTGGTCAAAAATGTCACGTGCTGACCACACATTTTCTTGATGAGTGTACAATGGAAATAGAATTTATAATTATTAATCAAATATGATATCTTCCCTAATGACTCATTTAATCGAAATTCAAAACCGAAGAAAAGATAATTATCAACGGGGCAAAAACTTCCGTAAGGTAATATACCTGTAGTTATTCAAATGGGAATTTAAGGAAACTTGGAACAAATTAATACTGTTCTGCTTTTGTCCTTTTCACTGTTATATGATTTTGGAATAACAATCAAACCCACGTTTTAGTTTCGTATTTTGATTGTCAGTTGTTATTTTTTAAGATGTAGCGTTTTGTGTGTTGTGTGTCTTTGTCTATGAAATCGTTCCTGATGAACGCTCTCATGTCGTCTGCGACACAAGGGGACGTCTAGAGTAGGATTGGGACCCTGTGCCTCTGTAGAAGCCAATTAGAAAATTTTAGTGACAGTGGTCCCATTTATCGACACACTGCTGTCTCTTGTTCCGAACATCCGTCATCACTGCTACACGTTTTTTTCCCTAAAAGCAAAACCGGAGAAGCTTTCAAAATGATTCCCTTTATTAGATAACCATTATTTCAGCACTTATTTTGTTAAAACATCCCCATCACCCTCACTTCTAGAAGCCATACAAAGCCATTTGCCGATCTCGTTTCTCACAATTACCCAATCAATTCTGTTACACTACTACATAGTATGTGAAAAAAAGCTGTCGACCACCGTGAAATAGAACACAGCTTTAATTAGCGGAAAACTCTCACCAACCTTATCATGTTCAATAGCTCCTTCAAAGAGTGTTACTGTGAATACTACTTTCCGTTTCCACACTTTCTGGTTCCTGTTAAGTGACCTTTGCCCCAATAAAGGAAATTATAGTGTGAATAGAGTTGTCAGTGTTCGTGAGTTGTTCAACAGTACTCTGACAGTATCGGGTAGGTCGTTTATGAAGCTGGATTCTGAAGACGACGAGTGTGAAGTAAGTTTCAGTTGACAGAAAAGTTTTGATAGATATTCACTGTAAGCTAGCATCTTCCATTTTTCCTGGTATAGCTTCTTGTTTATATACTGTAGAATTACTTATATATCATGTGGGATTTATTTTCGTGTTGGTACTCGAGGAGAGTCAATCGTGAATTCAAATCTCTCGCGATTTTTTTTGTACGAAAATAACTCATGTTA